GGCGGAAAGAGAGAGCGGGAGAGAGAGGGAGAGAGAAAGAGAGAGAGGGAGAGAGAGGGAGAGAGAGAGAGAGGGAGAGTGGGGAGGGAGAGGGGGTGCAGAAGTGATTTACAGGGATGAGAATCTTAAGGGATGAGAATAGATTGAAGAAGTTGGGGTCTGTTCTCCCTTGGAGAGGAGAAGATCGAGAGAGGGGGATCTGAGAGAGATTTTCCAAATCCCGGAGCAGGGGCTGGACAGAGCAGACAGGGAGAAGCAGTTCCCGCTTGGAAAAGGAACAAGAAGGAGGGAGGGGCGTAGGTTTAAAGTGAGGGGTAAACGAAGCGAGGGTGAGGTGAGGGAAAACGTTCCCATCCAGCAAGTGGTTAGGGGGTGGGATACACTGCCTGGAAATATGGGGGAGGGAAGTAGGTTCAGTGGAGGCTTTCAAGAGGGAAGGGGCATTGGATGGTTATCTGGATGGAAATTGGGGGGCAACGATATGGGGGGAAAGGCAGGAGGTTGGCGATGGGGTTAGAACCAGGGCAGGCAGCATTGGCGAATACCGTCTGGTTAAGCTGTAGGAATTCTGTGATGAACGGGCACAGAAATGTCGCTGTAGTGTAGGACGGGGTGGACAGTACAATTGAAATTGGTCACTGAGCTATAGGTCTGGCTGGGTCAAACGGTTCTGGCTCATATGTGGCATCATCAGTGAAAACCTGAGGGGCACCATTTTCACGCAGAGGGTGGGGCGTGTGTGGAACGAGCTGCCAGAGGAAGTGGAGGAGGCTGGTACAATTACAACATTTAAAAGGCATCTGGATGGGTACATGAATAGGAAGGGTTTAGAGGGATATGGGCCAAATGCTGGCAAATGGGATTAGATTAATTTAGGATATCTGGTCGGCATGGACAAGTTGGACCAAAGGGTCTGTTTCCGTCTTGTTCAGGTCCCACAGATTTATCCACATTTATATTTTTCTAAGACCACCAGCACGACCCCTTCCGTAATATGAACTGTTTTCAAAACAACAATATTTATATCCCCGAGTTCTCTAGCCTCCATTTCGATCGCCACAGTAAACACTGACTGTCTGTGTGGAGTTTACACATTCTCCCCTGTGTCTGCATGGGGTTTTCCAGGGGCTCCATTTTCCTCCCACAGTCCAAAGATGTGCAGGTTAGGGTGGATTGGCCATGCTAAATTGTCCCATAGTGCCCAGGGATGTGCAGGTTAGGGTGGATTGGCCGTGCTAAATTGTCCCATAGTGCCCAGGGATGTGCAGGTTAGGGTGGATTGGCCGTGCTAAATTGCCCCATAGTGCCCAGGGATGTGCAGGTTAGGCTGGATTGGCCGTGCTAAATTACCCCATAGTGCCCAGGGATGTGCAGGTTAGGGTGGATTGGCCGTGCTAAATTACCCCATAGTGCCCAGGGATGTGCAGGTTACGGTGGACTGGCCGTGCTAAATTTTCCCATAGTGCCCAGGGAGGTGTAGATTAGGTGGGTTATAGGGGGATGGGTCTGGGTGAGATGCTCTGAGGGTCGGTGTGGACTTGTTGAGCCGAAGGGCCTGTTTCCACACTGTAGGGATTATATGGAAGTGGTGGAGGGCTGGTACAATTATAGCATTTAAAAGGCATCTGAATGGGTATATGAATAGGAAGGGTTTAGAGGGATATGGGACAAATTGGATCTGATTAATTTAGGATATCTGGTCAGCATGGATGAGTTGGACCCAGGGGTCTGTTTCTGTGCTGTACAACTCTATGACTCTATAACTGAGCTGTGAGGAAATTTGTCTTAACTTTACATTTTTAAAATTATTTTTATGATTTCTGCTGTTCATGGTCTACATAAATGATTTGGCGGAAAATGTAACTGGTCTAATTAATAAGTTTGCGGATGATACAAAGATTGGTGGAGTTGCAGATAGTGAAGAGGATTGTCAGAGGATACAGCAGGATATAGATCAGTTAGAGGCATGGACAGAGAGATGGCAGATGGAGTTTAATCCAGACAATGTGAGGTGATGCATTTTGGAAGGTCAAGTACAGGTGGGAATCACACAGTGAATGGCATACCCTTAGGAGTATTGATATGCAGAGGGATCTGGGTGTACAGGTCCACAGATCACTAAAGATGGCTCCGCAGGTAGATAAGGCAGTAAAAAAGGCTTATGGCATACTTGCCTTCATTGGAAGGGGCATTGAGTATAAGGATAGGCAAATTATGTTGCAGCTTTACAGAACTTTAGTTAGTTAGGCCACACTGGGAATATTGCGTACAGTTCTGGTCACCTCACCACCAGAAGGATGTGGATGCTTTGGAGGGGGTACGGCAAAGGTTTACCAGGATGTTGCCTGATATGGGGGATTTTAGCTAGGAAGAAGGTTTGGATAGACTGGGTTTGTTTTCACTGGAATGCAGGGGGTTGAGGTGAGATCTGATAGAAGTTTATAAGATTGTGAACGGCATCGATAGAGTGGAAAGTATGAGGTTTTTTCCCAGGGTGGGGGGGGGGATCAATTACTAGGGGATACAGGTTCAAGGTGCAGGGGAAGGGAAGTTTAAAAGAGATGTGCGAGGCAGATTTTTCACACAAAAGGTGGTGAGTGCCTGGAACGCGCTGCCAGAGGAGCTGGTGGAAACAGACACTATAGCAGCATTCAAGAAGCACCTGGACGAATACATGAATAGGGAGGGAATAGAGGGATATGGATCCTGTAAGTGAAGACAGTTTTAGTGTGGAAGGGCAAAATGTGTCAGCACAGGCTTGGAGGGCCGAAGGGCCTGTTCTTGTGCTGTATTGTTCTTCTTCATTTTTCTTTGTTCTTTGACTTCTATCATTGATGTAGGCGCCATGATGTAGCGGCTTATTAAACTTTTCCCTGTAAAAGTACATGTGACAATAAATTTGTATTTAAAAAAACAGGGGCTCTTCAAAATTGGGGGCCACGCTTTTAGAGGGTGTGACTTTGGAGCTCTCTGTCTCAGAAGGCAGTTGTTGGGGGGTGGTAAGTGGTCATTGAATATTTTTAAGCTTGTCTGGATAAATTCTTGTCAGGGAGGGTGATTGGAGATGATCACAAACAGATGAGCCAGGAGCTTACTGAATAACAACATGGGCTTGGAGGGGCCGAACAGCCTGCTTCTGCTCCTATTCTGTATGTGTGTAAATTTGTTACACAGATCTGCTCTGACCGAAGTGTTCACAATCCAGATCGGGATTTGTTTAGCCCACCCTCGTGGTCCTCAGTCAATGTGATTACAGTAGAGAGTTGACAAAGTGAAAACCAATGCACCTCCCATGAGAATTGTTAGACTCACATCACAGCCTAAACGCTTCTCAAATTTATCCAGTGTCTGAATGAGATGCTGGTTCACTGCAACAGAAATTAACCCTCTGTTTCACAGCTCCCCGCAAACGTTGCTCAGAATTAGGACCCATTTCCATTCACTCCCATTGTACACAATCCCAATTGATCAAACCCCTTTCCTTTCATTCCCATTGTACACATTCCCAATGGATCAAACCCCTTCCCATTCACTCCCATTGTACACATTCCCAATGGATCAAACCCCTTCCCATTCACTCCCATTGTACCCAATCCCAATGGACCCAAACCCCTTCCCATTCACTACCATTGTACATAATCCCAATGATCCCAAACCCTTTCACCTTCTCCTCCACTGTGATCCCATTACTGATTGCCCTTCTGGGACTTTGACAAGATCTCCTCTAACATGGGGCAGGCTGGCTTGTGGGAGACCAGGAGAGTAATTGCCTTATGCCCTGAAACTGGAGATAACGGCAGGGGGGGAATGGTTGGGAAGAGGGTATTGTTGTGGTGCAGTAGGGTGTCAGAGCCGTGTGGCATATCCATTCTTAGTGACCTAGTGTTCTCAGTCATGCCTCATTCCATACTTTAGGGCTGATTCTGAACAGGAGAATGACGCAGGAGGGGTGAGCGTAGGTTGTAGTGTTGCCTTGAAACCAAGATATTACATCCCACAGGTCAAATCTTCGGGCCCTGCTCATGGTAAGACATTGGGCAATGGAGTGAACTGAGAGACACTTTTAACATGTGAGGGTGTTATTGCTAACCATAGTGTCACTTCATGAAGACACATGGGCACCCTGGGGAGTAGGACCAATGCACACCATCCCTGGAGGCTGTGAGGCTGAGGACAATGGGGAGGAGGACAGGCGAACGGATTCCTGTCAGTCTCGCAAGAACCCCATCATTTGCAGGCTCTGTCCTTTCCCAAGGAAGGTCACCAGAGGGAGCCCTGTCATTTGTGAAAGGAACCAAGAGGTTTCTTAACAACCACAACAACCCCCCATTTCTGTCTTTCACACAAACCAGGCTCGCAGTATTTCACACTCACATTCGTGCACACACTTTCTCACACACTCACACACAGACACGTACACCAAGTACCTGAAACTAATGTGTGCATTGTGAATGTGAGTGTGAGACTATCAGTGAGGTGTGTGTCTGTGCGAGCGTGTCTGTGAGTGTGAGACAGTCAGTGAGGTGTGTGCATCGAGTCTGATTGTGCCTGTGTATTTATGTGAGTGTGAGGGTGTGAGACTGTGTTTAAGTCTGCCTGTGTGTGTGTGTGTTTGATTCTGATTGTGCCTGTGCATTTATGAGTGTGAGGGTGTGAGACTGTGTGTAAGTCTGCATGTGTGTGTGTGTGTGTGTTTGATTCTGATTGTGCCTGTGTATTTATGTGAGTGTGAGGGTGTGAGACTGTATGATGAGGATGGTCTGTACTGACCATATGAAAGTGCTGTGTGTATAATGTGTTCCAGAGGTGTTTGTAAGAAAACAGGGAGTTCTTCACA